GGCATTATATTTATTATCAAGCAAACCAGAATGCAATTTATGTATTATATTTGCTTATAATAAAATATTGTTCCTTAATATCTTAATTCAAATATGTATATATAGTGCTTTGCAAAAGCAAATTAAAAGTTAAGTTTGAAATCAAATATTTGATCAAATTTGTTATGATCAAATATTTGATTTCAAACTTAATCTTTGATTTGCTTTTGTGAAGCACTAAGTCTAACAAGAGTTGTTTCTAGCTTTACCAATACCCTAATGTCCAAGAATAAGATTAATTCTGAAGTTTTTTTACTTTTACTTGCATTTGTTACTTTATTACTATTTATTACTTTTAGTTCTTTTTAATCATCTTTCAGATATTTTAAATTTTAATATTATATATCATGAGATCATAATTTGAATATATGGATCAATTACAAACTTATTCAATTTATTTGCTTACTAATGCATTTTTTTTTTTTTTTTAACATACAATTGATAATAGGTCTTCTAAGAATCATGGAGCAAACTGATGACTTTACTCAGTAAAACATATGCATTTAAACCAAAACTCATTTATATTTTGATCTTAAAATTAATTAAAAATACAGTAAAACCTTTATATCTTGAAACCAAATTTTAACAATATGCACTCAGAAAACAATAAGAAAAAGTGTATTTATTAAAATTTATATATATTTGGATCAGAATGAATGCATTCAAAGGGGTGTATATATATAGATGTACTTAGAAAGTTATATATTTTTTTTTTATAATTCTGTTTATAATAAGAACTAATATATATATTTTTTATTTATAGATTTTTGCTTTGTTGGAATAAAAGCTAGAAGCAGTATAATAGGTAATAGTAAAGTAATACAATACAAAAATATAAATTAGAATAGATATGTAGAAAATATAATACATAATACATTTAGTCAGAAAAAAATTTGTCAAACTACTCTAATATGAAAGAAGAACAATACTAGCATTTAAACTATTAAAAGGTTACTTGTAAAAATTGAATTTTACAAAGTTATGTTAACTGTATGTATATGTGATCAGAATTTAGTATAATTTTCATATACCATCTAATTCTGTACTGCTGTACTGTACTATTTTACTAAATACCTTAGCGTAATGCAATAAAAATAGATATATGATTTTTTTTTTCAAATTACTTTAACTAAAATGGTAATTGGGGCCTATTGCGAAAGGCATATAATAGTGTGATTTGTATAATATACTGTAGATTTTTAATTTTGAATATAATATAAATAATTGTAATAAAATTTTGTTTTTATTAAATAAAGATTCAAATAATATATCAATTATAATATCATAGAATTATAATAACTGCAATATGATCTCATAAACCACATACTTTTCGTTCTTTTTATCAAAAAATAAAAACTTAAAACACAGATAAAATTAAATATCTTGCATTTTAACAAAACAAAGATATCATAAAACTATCAGTTTTTATTTTTTAAAAAAAATCACGCTCAAAACAAGAGAATACTTAAAGTTTAGATTCTCACTCAGATCTAAGTGATTATTTCACCATTTCATATTTTAATAAAGCAAAAAAAAAATTTTAGTTTATATTTAAAACAAAGAAAAAAATGAATCTAAAACAAAAGCAAAAAGCTAAATTATAGTCTCACCAAATCAAAATAAAATTTCAAGCTCTATTACATATGCCTACAAGCCAAAAACCTAAAAATCTACAAAAAGAAATTGTTAGTCATATTTAAAAAGAAAAGATAAAAAAATCTAGAACAAAAGCAAAAACTATACTTATCATTACAACATTTCATCTGACTCTAAATCTTCAAGCCCTATTTTATATTCCAGCAATTTAACAACCTAAAAATTTACAAGAAAAAGAATTTGTTATTTTATATTCAAAAAAAAAGAAAAAATTAAACCAGACCAAAAGTTAAGACTAATACTTATTATTCATTATGGTCTCACTCTAATCTAATTCTTTAAATTCTATTTCACAGTTTAACAAATTAAAAACTTAAAAACTTACAAAAAGAAAACTGTTAGCTTATATTTAAGAAAAAAAACTATTAAATCCAAAATAAAAGTAAAAAATTATACTTATCATTCATTATAGGCTCTTGCACATAGTGCTTCACAAAAACAAATCAAAGGTTTGAGTTTGAAATCAAATATTTAATCTAGTCAAATTTGATCAAATAATTGATCAAATTTGACTAGATCAAATATTTGATTTCAAACTTAATCTTCGATTTGCTTTTGCAGAGCACTATATATATAAATAATATAGTTCTTATTTTTAGTGATTTTGTTAATTCGTTAATTAAATTAACAAAAATATTTTCATATCAACTCATAATAAAGTAAACCCTTTCTTGATATTTCAATCCTAATATATTATTTGATTTTTTTACTAATGTCTTTATTAATTATTATCACAGATTAAAATGAAATCTGATTAAAATGAAACTGAGGACCTCATATATCCACTCTTAGAACCTATAAAACCCATATATACTCATTTATTAATAAACCTAACTCTAAACTCTACCTTTAATACTAAAAAGAACTCCAAAAAATAACTTCCAAAAAATTTTAAATTTTTTTTAAAAAACAGAAAAATTTTATTTTGATCAAATTTCATTTTAATCTGTAATAATTATTGCTATCAATTAAAATATATATACATAAACATTAAATTCTAAATATATAGGCAAAAAATATTAAACTCTAAATAAATTTACCTAAATATTTAAATTTTTTATTGCCAAAATTCACCTTTATTGACCCACCTTGTGAACTAAATCCAACATAAGGATATAGAATGCCTTTGAAATTGCTATTTATATAGCATGCAATTTCTTAAAATATTTAAGAAATCTGTAAGTGTAAATATTTTTAAATTGATTATATCTGTCAAATTTTTGTTATAAAATAATTATTAGAATTATCATGTGATCTGTAATTTCGAAAATAAAAATGCAATAATTCTAAAAAACTAAATTTTATTCTAGAATATGTAATATTTTTTTTTGTAACAGGTAACACCGAACTACGTATCGATATACAATTTGTGTAATCAATCCTAATATAGCGATGATCTGACCACTTTTGCCATGTAAGGTATATTAAAGTTATGTTATGTTTTTTTTAAATCGTATTGCCTCAATAAATAAGTTCAAATTCGCAAAAAAAAAAGCATACCTTTGTAAAATTTATATAGGACTACAATAGTATGTTTTTTTTTTTTTGCAAATTTTTAAATATTTATTGAGAAGTTATGGTTTTTTAAATGCTTTTAGATGATTGGCACCGTACGTAACAATTAACAACCTAACCGTATAATTCACGTGGTAAAGCCTTATTTGTAATTTTGTATTAAATTGAAATATATATATTTTTTTTAAAAACTTCATTTTTTACAATAAAATTTCAGTAACTTTGAATATTCTATAATCCAAACAACAAAAGTCCCACAAATCTAAAATATTAATACAATTTCGTTTTTATGTGAATTGAATTAAAATGATTTTTTTTTTTTTTGTTTAAAAAAACTATATCTAGGATTGTTCCTGAGATTATTTTCCTGATTTTGGCGTTTTATGAGCAATAGCTTTAGGTTTATTATTGGAGAATAGAAATTTAAACAGAATTTCGATAAGCCATGCGCCGAGAAAGTCAAAAAGCATAATAGCAGTGAGATGATGTTTGAACTAGTGGGAAAGAAATTAAAGAAACTCTTAAGTTTTATATCTTTCAATTTATGTAAAGAAAGCTCTAGGTAAAAACAATCGAGAAATAACTACCTCAGATTTAAGTGGAACCAATTGCAGCATAGAATTCATTTCAGGAACTTTAGATTTAAAATTTTTACATTAATTTTAAGTCGTTTAAAAATAGATTTTTGTTAAATTTAGCAGGTTGTGATATCGCAGGTTAATATATATTTTTAAAAAAAATTAAAATTATTATTAGTTAGGGTTAAGGTTCGAGCTAGTATTAGGATTAGAGTTAGAATGCATATTTATATGCAAATTGAGTGTTAAAAGCTTTTAATTAGAAGTCCAAGACTAGTTTACATAATGAAATTTCGAGATATTTAAAATTTTGACTTTTTTTCTTAAGTTTTCCTAATTTTTCGTTTATTTTTATTACACAAGATCAGGTGATCTAATTGGTCGATCATATTAACCTGCGATATAGCAACCTGCGATATTTAACATTATCCTAAAAAATAAATCACAAAAATTCGAAAATTCTTACTAAATTCGGTGGCACCAGATAAGGCGATTGTACCTACAGACAGCAAGCCATAATACAATGCGGTATTTTCTTTCAGACTTTCTCTGAAAGGATGTCCCTAGTTATTTTGAATATAATATAATTACGATTCATATGCAAGCATTAATAATAACCATACGTCTAAATATTTGAGTGAAAGACCACTATACCTGATAATTAATAGCAAACGTGGAAACTTGCATAGATAACGATATTAAATATACTGCTGTGTTTAATAGACTTGGTTGAAAATCTCCTTCGAGGTCGACAGTTTTCCTCCTACATAGTAAACAAAATCAAAGGTCTGCAATCATATACAAAAATTAGTATTATCATTTTTAAATTCATTATTTATACATACTCTTCATAATGAAATACTAAATCTACTATGTAAACAAGAGACGCTATGTGAATAGCGAATTGACCGAGAATGGATAGAATAATATAAAAATTGAAAACGTTTGTTTGTGGTCGTTGCTTGGAAAGCCTTTCTAATGGCTAGTATTAGACATACAAACAATGTAAAAAATTATGATATACTTTAAACACTTTAGACAAAAATAATCTAAATAAATAAGTTACCTTAGCTTTTGAAATACAAAGGAAACAAACGGCAAGTAACATGCCAGAAATAGTAACTTGCCTAAAAATATCGAGTTCAAAATTAAATAATTAAGTCCTTAAATCAAAATGCTTAAAAAAATGATTTGAATTTCGTGATATTGAACTTACAAATCGCCATATTTAATTCCTTCCAAATATAACACGCTCAGACTGTATGCAGAGATTAAACAATTTAAAGCTAAAATTTTGTACATCTGAATAGTGGCAACTAATGTACAACGACCCTGACGGACAATATTTGCAACTGTCAAAAAAAAAAAAAAAAAAAGTTTTAATAGATGACAAACATTTTCAATCACATGAATTACAAACATATTTGAGAACCCCTTACTTGCTACCACATTTGAAAGCTTAGATGTAAAAGGCGCTGCTACTGATGCATCTCCTAGTTTAATGGTAGGTGGTTCATCATCGAAGTCTTGTAAAAGATGTTCCGCGAGTTGATCCATCTTTAAACAAGCGATAAAATTAAATTTATTTGCGAATCGAAATAACTTTCAAAATAGAAAGAAGACACCAAACCTGAGGAGGAGGTCGTCTTTGACCTTGTCCCGCATTATTTTGTTGCTGAAGTTGTTGTGTAATATGTGGGAATAAATGTGCAATTGCTGGTGGCGGGGGTGGAGGTGGCATGTTAAATCTCGAAGTAAATTTTAATTGACTTTCATATACATCTTTAAGTCTCTGTATTCGTTGGTGTTCAGCAATTTTCTTAAGATCTTCGGGTTTGCCATCAAGAAGCGCAACGCCGACATGAGCTTGCTTAAGAGCACCAACATCATTTGTCCCATCACCACACATCAATGTAATATATCCAGCTTGCTTAAGGCCAGTCAATATAAATTCCTAGCATAATATACAGCGTCATAAATATATCACTTGTAAATATTAACATAGCAGTTTATCAAATATACCTTTTGCCCTGGAGAAACACGTGCATACACCCACGTATGGACTAGTAGATCTTTTACAGAGGGCTTGTTTTCATAACATGCTAGCGCTGCACCTGTTATACATAGGTCGTAGTCACGATAAACTGATAGATCAACTGGTTCTGCAGGATTGACAGGTATAATGACTTTCTCATCAACTGATTTCCAAACAAGATCTGTAGGCAATAATCATTAGTAAATGATAGCAAAACAATACAATATGATGTGTCATAAATCAAGATACCATCATTATTCTGGGCATCTTCGCGAAGATCAAGAATTAATACATCGCGTTCGAGAATTTTCACTTCGCGTGCTACGTGACATGCTGTTAAAGGATTATCTCCAGTGATCATAATAACCTATACAATTTTTTTTTTTTAAACAAAAATAATTGTCGCTTAATTGAAATCCATAAGAATATACAATATAATAAGTATAATATACCCTATGAGAAGACTCATTCAGCATCTCAAGAGTAGATACAGCATCATCTTTAAGCGGACAATGAAAAATAAGAAATCCAGCAAAATTTAATTCACTTTCAACAGATTCTCGTGACAATTCATTAATCTATTAGAAATTGTTGTTATAATTAATAATAATCAATAATTACAAAATTAAAATTTTCAATAATTGATACTATACCTCATCCATATTCATATTATCTTTTAAATATTTGTATCCCAGAGCCAAAACTCGACTTCCTCTACGCATAAAAAACTTGAATGTTTCCTCATAGTCGTCAGGTACATAAACGTACATATTACGCAATGTTTCGGGTGCGCCTTTAACCGCAACAAAAGTTTTTTTAAAACGGGATGTTGGAATTGTCGAGACACTTGACATACGCTTAAGTGCGGATGAAAATTGAAATCTGCGACGAATTTGTAATTGTGATCTTTGTTGAAAGCGTTGCGATTGTTGATTCGCAGGAATAACAGTATCGCCTTTAGGCGTCAAAACAAAGCTTAACCTTAACGAAACCTTAGTCATGTAAAAAAGATAAATAGCATACTAAATGTACAAACCTTTGCCAAGTTTCCAATCCAACGCTTCCAACGTGGCTTTTTCCATAGGATCGCCGACGATGCCATCATCTAATTTGACTAAAGCATGTGCGGCAGCCAGGGTTTGGATTGATTCCCGTAAAGCATCCGGTGGTTTTACCAAAATCTTCGAATCTTCGGGACTGATACATTGTAATTACGAATTGGTATAAAATTTGTTGTAAACGCTGAAAAATACTCTTACATTAAACTATCAAGTGGCTTACTGTATTCCAGCAATTCCTTCGACTTCAAGATTTTCACCAGTTAAGTTACCAGTTTTATCGAAAGCACAAACATCAATTTTTCCGGCAAAAGGAATCCTGAATGGTTCAGTGCAATAAATAGCTAAATATTTATGTACCGTGTCAAAATTAAATGTATCTTTTGTTTTTTTTTGGTTTTTTTTTTTTTGAGATCATCTTTCTAAAGACTTTGTGTCTCACCAAATTTAGCCAATGCGACCAACGAGGTGTTAACTGCCAAAGAAAGTTCCATTGGCAATTCCGGAGGTACAACTGATGTAATAATTAAAATACAATCGAGCAAGAGCTTTGACCTTTTACGGCCATCTTCAACACCTATTAATGTTTATTATTAACAACGGTTAATAATCGACAAAATTTTTCCAAATAAGTAGGCATTCATCACGATAATGAAAATTACTTGCCTTTAATCCAAACATATGCGGCCGCGGAAATTGCGAAAATCAATAAGAATAAGATAAACAAGAAGGATTCTAAATTGTTTGCTGACACATGCTCAGTACTATACACCATTGTACGCACGAGTTTCCCCTGAGCAGTTCCAAATCCGGTGCGAATAACATAGGCAATACATCCATTATCCGGAGCTAACAAATTATAATCATCATTAGATAATATTAAATTTTATATTTTTATCAGGATAAAATAGCTTCAAACTTACCAGAAAGAATATCTTGTTGAGGAGGAGTTACTTGTAGGACCTTTGTACCTCCAAACAGCATGCTATTTTTGTCAATGCCATTCATATCAAGTTCGTCATTGCCATCACGAAGAACAATTGATTCCTAAATTATATTTACGTCCATTTATATTGACATCAGAAAAGAAAATATTATTAAGCAATACAAATTATTATCTGCTTAAATTACACATTAACATTAATAATTTGCTGATGATCTTCATAATATAATCACTATCCATGCATAGATTGAATTAGTAATAAAGGTATTGTTAAACGGACCTTCAATAGTGGCGTCGATTCACCAGACAGCATCGCCTCGTTCACAATACAAGAACCTTGTAAAAGTATCATATCACAAGGAACACCACTATCTTCCTTGGAACGAACTTCACAAATAAATTTGACATAAGTGTATGAGAAATAATGATAAAAAAGGACAATACAAAGTAATTCTGATATCATGTACCGATAGACACTAAATCCCCCGGTAAAAGCTGATCAGAGTCGATAGGAGTCCAGCGGCGATTTCGTCTAACATGGATCTGGTATGGCTTAATTGACATAGTACGAAACTCGGCCAAAGTTTTCAATCTCTAAAAAATAAATATCGTTTTGGACAAGCTTCATTAATATCTGCAGAAAAAACCAAGCCTATAAATAAACTTAAATGATATAATACCTGAAAGACGACAGTAGATTCGAACACTACAAGCATGAAGAGTGTAAACACCGAATAGTACCAATATTCATCCATAACCCACAATCCAACACAAAATAATTGAAAGACAAAGAATGGCGCAACGGCATGTTCTTTGAATAATTCAGGAAAAGTTGGCACAGGAATATCGAATCTAAAAATTAAGAAACCTTAGTTATATAGTAATTTCTAAATGAATTTAAGATATTTTTGGCGAAAGAACAATACACACCTATTATATCCATATTTCTCGTAAGTTAATTTAATTTCATTTTGGGTTTCAAGACCTTTAGCATTTTGAAATGTTGATAGTTTAGAGTATATATCACATGGATAAAGTAGCTTTTTAAAGTTCTTTTTATTCTCATCCCACAAATATTTCTTCTTTTGATAAAAAAATGATATTTCCCCATTCTAAATAAAGATACTTAAAGTTAAATATTTATCAATAATATAATATAATGCATTAATGCGATATTTGACTAAACTTACTTTTCCATGGTGTAGGTCACATAGTTCACCCTTTCCTTTATGTTGGGCAGGAATTATTTTGATGACTTTAGCTTTCCTAACATCATTTTGCTTGGAAAATAGTAAAATAGTTGCATAACATTCTAAATCTGAAATTTATTAATAAATACCAAATAGAACAATTGAAATGATATCCTACTGTTTTGCAAGTAAAAAAAGCCTTTGCCCTAACACTCCACTGACAACTCAAGAATATTAACGCATTTGTTGTGATTAAGCTTCCGAGAGTTAAGAATGTCCATTCTTCAGACACGATAAATTCATCGTATGCATATATATATATATACGACCATGCAACATAAAGACAAACAAAAGGCCATACATAAAAATGCCACACTAGTGGTTTTCGTATGTGTAATGAAGATTTTCTTATTGACTTCGCATCTACGATGTTAGCAGGCGCCCTACACAACAGTGAGTAACTGTTCAACTTTTAAACAAAAAAAAAAAAACTTGGAATATAAACTGCTGCTTACATCGTGTGTATTTTGGATTTGACTTCGATCAAATAGTCAAAAGAGTAAATAGATATATAAATTATAAAGTGTTAGTAAGAGCGTGGTAGGCTTTCTCGATTTGCATAAAAGTCTTCTCTAACAAAACAGCAGCTTTCTTTGAGCCCAAGCATTTAGATTCATACACAGTAATGTTGGACAGAGATCGCCGTGACACTACGAGACGCGCTTGATTCCGTGTACTAATAAAGCCATGGTAAACGCTACGAAATGAACCTTTCATATATTAAAAACGTTAGACTTACTAATTTTTTTTTATTATCAATCTTAGTAGTTCTTTTCGTTGAATTCACCACTGTGTTAAAATTGAATGTTTTTTTTCCTAATTATTACGTTTCACATGCATTTTTTAAATTAAAATTGCCTATTGGCCAAACGATATGCTTGATTAACCTAATCCTGGCCATTGAGATTTAATTTCTTAAAAAAAATTTAACGTTAAGATTTAAATTGGAAATAGCATACACAGTGATGTCAAATCATGATTTGTTTATACCGATACCGATACCGATACAATTAATCTATAATAAACCGGCTATTGTAAAAATTTTCAAATGTTTTGATATAGAAAAAAAGCTCTTTGTACGGTCATTTCACTATTGCTATAAATTTGAGTGGTCATTTGGGAGTTGTAATTTCACATATTTACAAAGGAGATCATACTCATGGAATGTAGTGGAACAGTTCAAAAATTGGGTAATACTTTGTAAAGCGAGGTTAAAGCAAGACTTTTTGCTTCATATTCATAACATGTTTTACATTTACCACAGAGCGCTGCATTCAATACCAGGGGTATAAATCAATTTAATTGTACTCGGAAGGTACTGTGTAAGGAGAAGGGTACAGTTCAAGAGAGTATTTTGAGCTGATCATTAGGCAGAGGTTTATTTTACTGGATACTAGTCTTGCGAAAAGGGACAGTGTTGGCCTATGACCTTAAATGACCTATATGACCTTTATGACCTTTATGACCTGTCATAGCATAACGACTTATGACCTTTTTTAATATAGTAAGAATCATAGTAAAGATTTTTTTCATTATATAGTACTTAATATGACCGGATGACTATGACCAAAAGGTCATATGATTATATGACCAAGGTCATATGATTATATGACCAAGGTCATATAGGAAAAAAAATGGTATGACATAGTCATCGGCCAACACTGAAAAGGGACGAAATTGACAAAAAAAAAAGATCTTCAGAAAATCAATTTTTATATTATAAATCTTATAATAATAAATGCAAACTTTAAAGAGCTATACTACAAAATTCTATTAATATAACTACTTTTGAGCCTTAAATAAAAAATGTTCCTAATCTTATTCTAAATTGATTTATGTAAAAAGATTTCTTTTGAAAAAATTGTCAATTTCGTCCCTTTTTGCAGCACCTAGCCCATATAAATTTGCAATATTGCAGATTTTTATCATAAGAAATAATAATACAGTACAGACAACCTAGTCTTGACAAATAAATTTGACCAACTTCAAAAATGCTGATCCTTGTTCACAAAAAACAATAACGATAAATAATTCATAGAGCATTAAAACCATTCAAGCTAAACATCTTGATCTAAAAATTTTTTTAAAGTCAAAGCAATTTTATAATTAAACCAGTGATAGTGCTTCCTTTTACAGCTTGGCGTAGCTGTTTTTTGAATATTTATTGTCACAGATTAAAACGAAATCTGATCAAAACGAAATTTTTCTGTTTTTTGAGGAAAATTTTAAATTTTTTGGAGGACATTTTTTGTAGTTCTTTTTAGCATTAGGAGTAGCATTTAGGGTTAGGTTTATTAATAAATGAATATATGTGGGTTTTATAGGCTCTAAGAGTGGACATGAGAGGTCCCCAGTTTCATTTTGATCAGATTTCATTTTAATCTGCGACATTTATTGCTTATTTATCTCATATAGAGGCCAAAAAACTATTTTATTTGAAGATTTCGTTTGTTATTCTTTACGTCA